TGTCTATTTTTTTCGTAACATCTGCATTAATCGTATGTTTGCACCTGTATAACAACAGATGACGTTAATGATGTCCAAAAAAAAACGAAAGAAAGAAAGAAACAAAGAAAATATCATATTTTGTCACAATCATGTTGGTGGAAGATCGATATCTACATTGTTATTGAATGTTTTACGTAAGATAAACGTTTTTTGTACCAATGATGGATGTATAAAAAGAAAAGAATAATAATAACAGACTAGATAATATAGTGTATTTGTGTCTTTTACAACATAAATAAATGAGATTCTATTGAATGTTGTTGTAACTCGAGTAGAGAATAGTAAGATGATTAATATTAATATGCGGCTTTTTTTTCTATTATAGATTTACTATATCACGACAATGATTACATTTACAAATTTAGATGATAATTATCATGAATTAGAACAAGAATTTCAAAAACTTGCTTTACTTGTACCAACAATACCAAAAGATCGATGCATATCTGAACTTGAATTTATTGAATTTGTTATTGCTTATATTCAACAACTACAACGATTACTTTCATATGATCAATGGAAAGAACATATGAATAAGTTGACATCATCTATGAAGAATTCTACTGTATCATCGCCATCGTCACTACATTTATACAAACAAATGATGTTTCGATCATCAAGAATACCAACAAATGAAAGTTCATTGATAATTTATCGCAGTCCATTAGCTTCAATCAATCTGCATAATACTCAATTATCTTGAACAGTATCCTACTTTTGTGTCTATGTGTTGTCTATTGTTTATTCATTTATTCTTATTATTCATTTCTATGCCAAAAGAAAAAGAAAGTTGTTCTAATAAAATTTGACTTTACAGAATATTTTTTCATATTCTATTTTTGAAAGTAATCCACACATATGAAGATGTGAAAAAAAAATCGAACGTAAACAACAGTCGGAGATTGTTTTCTACAAAATGATATTAACTTTTTAACTGTTACTGACGTAACATGACGTCAGCATAATCTTCCTACTGTAACTCTCCCCTGTCACTTCTCACATTCGATTTCTCTTTTTCAAGTGTACCGTTTTTCGTATTCAGTACAAGAAAGTTGTTCATATGCCATCAATCTATGATGAAGTCAATTCTGTTGATCATTCAGAAGAGACAAAGTCGAATTGAAAAATCTCTGTGCTTATAAATAAAGTGACACAGTAGCTGAGGTCGACATCAACAATTAATAGATGGCGCTTTCCTTTAGTCACTACTCGTTCTCTTTTGAAACAAAATTTCCGAGAAAAATTCAGGAATATTAAATCAAAAGAGAAAAACTATCAATTTCACCTACATGAATACGGTGAGCTTTGTGATAATTCTCATGCAAAAAGTCACTCCTACTGGAAAGAAGTAGTCCCAGGTCGAAATCACCCTGTCAGATTCGAAACTATCCGATAGTCGGAAACCATCGTTATCCGTTGGTTTCCGACGATTTCCGGTACTGGATTCCGATAATAGGATCCGATGATATCCAGCAATGGGAACTTGTCGGATCCGACGAAATCGGATGGTAGGAAAATATCCATAGATCCTTAATTTTACTTTTATTTTATTTTTATTTTATTTATTTTATTTTTATTTTATTTTATTTTATTTTATTTAATTATATATAATTTTATTTTATTTTTCTTTTCTTTTATTCA